GTTTCATCCCTTCGAGTCCGTGTCGGCTGATTTCTTCAGCACAGCTGGGAAACATTTCCTAGTTGTCGCCGACCGACTCTCTGGCTGGCCTGTGGTGGTAATCTGTGGCTCGGACACGACGTCCGCGGCCACCATTCGCCACTTCCGGCACCTCTTTCGTGACCTGGGCGTCCCCGTACGTCTGCGGACGGACGGTGGGCCACAGTTCACCAGCCGGGACTTCACAGGATTCCTGGAGCGTTGGGGAGTCCGCCACATCGTGTCAACACCCCACTACCCACAGTCAAACGGCCATGCTGAGGCTGCGGTCAAGACAGTCAAGCACCTCATCCTCAAGGTGGCCCCTTCAGGCAACATAGACTGTGAGGCGTTTGACAAAGGACTCCTGGAGTTACGTAATACTCCCACCCACACAGGACGCTCCCCTGCCCAGATCCTGTATGGTCACCCTCTCCGCTCTTGCGTTCCTGCACACGCCAAGGCCTTTGCGAAGGAGTGGCAGACCAGAGCCGAGAGCTGCGACCGCCGCGCCACTTCACGTGCCCAGGACGCCAAGGCTCGGTATGACGACCGTGCCCGCCCTCTTCAGCCACTGGAGATTGGTGCCCTTGCCCGCGTCCAGGACCTGACGACGACACGTTGGGACAAGGTGGGCATAGTGATGGGCGTCGGCCGGTCGCGGGACTACAAGGTCAGGATGCCGAGCGGCCGTGTCTGGTGGAGGAACCGCCGCTTCCTCCGGCCAGTCCCACCCCCTGCTGCTGGCCCCCTGACCGAGGACGAGTCACCTACACCTCACGAGGATCCGCCCCACAGTGCACCTCGACGCTCGGAGCGACTTAGGACTAAGAAGTCCGCTCAAGACAAAGACTATGAGCGTGAGGGGGGAGGGAGATGTAGGTTATGCATCTAAGCTACTGTGCCGAGTAGCAACCTTGTAAATAAGCTACTGTGCCGAGTAGCATTTATATATATAATTACGTGGCAACACTGCACGTGTTATGTGGCAACATTGCCCCGAGGCTGCCATATGGCAAGGCGCCTCAGTCTGACTGCGTGAGCTGTGCTTGGCACATGCTGGTCACCGCTTGTATTTCTCTCATCCACAATAAACGAACTCAGTGTTACTCAGTGTTTCCCTAGCCATCACTGCATTCTTCAGGGCACACTTTATAACCATCAAGAATGAGGAAGATATGTCTAGGGGTCATTGATCAGCTGCAGTATCTTTGTCTCTCCTTGGGACTGGTCATTAATTAAAATAAAACCAAATCTCAGTGAAGGGCAGTAAATGGAAAAGAATTTTGGCTAAATGGAATAAAATTGCAAAAAGTATCCAGTTATAAATATCTGGGAATGTTTGTGGGTGTAAATAATAATGTTAAGGATCAAATTACTTATGTCAAAATATATGTACAGCTCGGCTAAAACCTCTGAAAGTTTTGTCAAATAGAGCAAATGGTGTTGGTATACCAGTTTTAAGATCTATGTACGTACTTGAGTACAGTTAGGAGTATCATTGATTATTCAGCTCCAGTTCTAGCTTCTTACTCAGGAAAAGATCTTAGGCCATTAGAGCTTATTCAGAATGAAGCAATGAGGATTGTGCTTCGTTGTTCAAAGACGACAAGAATAGAGATTATGAGGATGGAGCTAAATGTCCCGAGCATAATACACAGAATTAGAGAGTTAACTGTCATTTCTACTCTAAACCTTATTAGGCGTGGTGATGGGTATCTGAAGTCTGCTGTTGATAAATTTACTTATGCAATAACTAGTAATTTTAAGATGAATACTTATACTAAAAAACTTTGTCAGATGTTGTGTGAATATAATATTGTAGATTTGTGTGAACCTTTGCCAAACAAAGTTTATTTGAAACCTTGGTTCATGGAGAGTGTATCTGTGAGAATTGATAAGCTAGAGTTAAAAAAAAAGAATGTAATCCTTTTGAGTTACGGCAAATATTCCTTGAGAAAATATCTGAGTACAGTCGGCCCTTAACATACGCGGGTTTAGCATTCACGGATTTGCAAATATGCGGATTGCCCCGCCGGAGGAATATTCTGTACATTGAAGTAATTGAAGTACATTCAACTCGCACGCGGCACCGAACACGGGACACCGCCCGCTCCTGCAACCTCACACACAAACGCATAGCTCTCCCTTACTCAGTCAGTCTCACTGTAACCACGCTTGTGTTGACATCAGCATTGTAGTTGCAAAAATATTACAATTCCGTGAATGTATTATATCAAGCACAGTATGAATAGAATAACACTAATATAAGAGTATTTTAACCGAAAACTACTAAAAAAACGAGTAACATATCTTGAACATCGGAAGGTTAGGTAAAGTCTTTTGTTTTCATGTAGTTGATCCTAATTTACATTGAAATGCATTACGTTTCAGCAAAACTACTACAGTGAACCCTCACTTTACGCGGTCAATTGAACCCACGGAGGCCCGCATAAAGCAAGAAACGCGTAAAGTGAACAACATAACATATGGGACTAAATGAAATAGAGATCGGCTGACCCCCAAACTCCACTTTTTCTGACACAATACCTATGTTCTAGTAAAAATAACATCTAAATTTTATGATGGTACATGCACACAATTAATACTTAAGAGAAATAGAGAAATACAGTCGCCAAGTTAATGTCCATTCAAATAATATGGACTCAGCTCCCTCCCCCTCTTCTCTGCTCCTGGCGTTTGACAAAGTTTGGCACGCAGGGCTGCAGTATAAGATCATACAACTGGGGCTACCCAAAAATCTGACGCGCCTGCTGTGCAACTTCATTACGGACCTCAGAGCCAAAATCAAGATGCAAGAACATTTTGGAGAAGAATTCTCTCTATCGAGCGGCGTGCCTCAGGGCTCTTGTCTCTCACCAACCCTTTACACGCTCTACACGGCTGACCTGCCACCCCCAATCGTCGGCAGCAAGTACGTCAAGTATGCCGACGATGTAACACAGATCGTCACCTGCCCAGGAAGGTCCACGGCAAGGATGGCGCGACTCACTGCTCGGGCAATAGAGGAGATCTCGGAGTATGAAAATAAATGGAAAATAAAAACAAACAAAACGAAATTTGAGGTCATACCCATAGCCAAATTCAAGCCGGCCCCATTGATGATCGACGACGAAGAGATTGAGTACTCTAAACAAGGCAGGTTGCTCGGCCTTATCATCTCTCGGACGGGCATCATTCCCCACGTGAAGGATAGGCTAAAGAAAGCCAAAGTCGCCGCAGCCAAATTAAAACGTTTTAAACTGATGCCTGAGAAGATACAAGTTCACCTGTACAAGGCGCTGGTGAGGCCTGTGTTGGAGTACCCACATATACCACTCGTCACACTCGGGAAGACCAGACTACAACAACCACAGAGCTTCCAAAACAAGTGTTTGAGGTCAGCCAATGGCCAAGCGCCACCCTACCAGGAGACAGTGGAAACCATCCACCTAAGAAATAAAACAGAGGCCCTCAACTTCAGGTTCCATCGCCTAGGGAAGAAGGTTTGGGACAAGCTCCTGGACGACCCTCACAGCCCAGACCACCTACGCGGGGAAGACATCAACGGAGGGAGACCCCACGCCTGGTGGCCCCGGAGTCTGCCCGCACTACAACAACCCAACCCGCGACCCATCTATGTCCGCCACAGTGATCCACCTTAGATTAAAACTTAGATGATATAAATTCACATTTAACAAGTCACAATCAAGTGAGTCCATAACGTAATACAGTATAAGATGTTAATAAACTTGTAATTGTAAAATAAATCTAGTCATTGTCTTCAAAAATAACCATTGTGCAACCTCATCCTAAATCCTAGCTTAGCTTAGTTAGCCAACAAACTCTGTAATATGTAAAACAAGGGGTGTCGTCCCCCTCTGTTTAACTCATTAAACTTCTTTTCCAACCTTTCCCCCCACGACTATATGTTGTGACTTCTCCATCCCTCATGTCTGGCTGTGCCTTGAGCCCCAGCATGCCTTCCATCCTTTCCCCACCTTAACCTAAAAAAAAATAAATAAAAAAAAAGATAGGAAATTAAGCAGCTCATAGCTAATGCTTGCAGTTCTGAGCAGTCTTCAATGATCCGCGCTACTGAGAGGTCACGCCGGGTTTTCTCTCCGTTAGCTCCTGTGTTGTTTGCCACTTTTTGTGAGTATTTTGTTGGTTCCCACTCACATTGGTGACTGTGCTTCTCTAGTTTTTGTGGTGTTAACGTGGACCATAATCTCCCATATTTGTGCGTATTTTTTTTGTGCGTCACTGGCATTATTTACTTCTTAATGCCAGCCATGTTGCTGATTAAATAAAAAATAAAGATAAATATTTCACTTTTTTATCTGTGAAAATATCCATTTATAGTTTTGACTTTTTCTTGTTTTTATTTACAGAATTTGGAGCCCATCATGAGTGTCAAAAAAAGAGGGTACGATCATTCATATATTGAATATGGATTCACATCCATCATCATCAATGGAGAAGAAAGGCCTCAATGTGTTATTTGTAGTAAAGCTTTGACAAATGATTCCATGAAACCAACAAAGTTGAAGCGACATTTGCAGAATGTTCATCCTCAACACAAGGACAAGGACCAAAACTTTTTTGAACGTCATGGGAATGCTCTCAAAAAGATGAAGCTGGATTCAACAGGGGCATTCAAAGAAACAAACCAAAAGGTTACTGAAGCTTCTTATGTCGTAGCACTGGAGATAGCAAAGCAGAAAACCTTGCTCTCTCAAAATGGTGGAAATTGTGTTGGGAAATGGATTGGAGAAAAAACTTGCAGCGGTTCCACTATCAAACAGTACTGTTCAAAGTTGGATCAGCGATATGGCCATTGACATCAAGGATCAAGTTGTGCAGGAGATCAAGTCTTCAGCATTTGGCTTATTTTCAATTCAACTTGATGAATCGACTGATGTGGCATCGTGTTCCCAGTTGATGGTGTTAGCAAGGTATGTTCACTCAGGTTCATTTAAAGAGGAGTTTCTCTTTTGTTCTCCTCTTGAAACAACTACCAAGGCCTCGTATATTTTGGAAAAGGTTTCATCTTTCTTTGAATCAGAAAATCTTTTGTGGGATAATATCTGTGGGTGCTGTACAGATGGAGCACCAGCTATGTTGGGGACAAAATCAGGATTTCAAGTTTGTGTGAAAAAGCGAGCTCCAAAAGTGAAAGGCATTCATTATATGATCCATCGTCAGGCACTGGCCTCAAAAACACTTCCAGCTCCGCTAGGGAAGGTTTTGGATCAAACAATTCAAATTGTGAATTTTGTCAAAGGAGGAGCTCTCAACTCACGACTTTTCAAGCAGTTATGTACCGACATGGATGCAGCCCATTATTTGCTTCTTTTCCACACAAATGTTCGATGGCTGTCAAGAGGAAATGTAACTGAGCGAATATTTGAGCTTAGAGATGAGCTCAAATTATTTTTTGAAGTTCAGGGTAAGATGGAATTTTTTGCCTGGCTGGATGATGAGGAATGGCTCATGCGCCTTGCCTATTTGGTTGATATTTTTGAGCAGCTGGATAAACTGAATCTTCAGATGCAAGGAAGGAATACAAACATCATAAAATTCATGGATGCCTTGAAAGCTTTCATGAGCAAGCTGAAAAATTGGAAGAGAAAGGTTAATATAAAAAATGTTGCAATGTTTGAGAAAATGTCATCCGTTCTTGTTGGTGGTGGTGAAGACAAGGTGCTTCCACAATTTGCAAAAAATGAAATTTTACAGCATTTGATACACTGGAAAATGAATTCAGCCGATATTTTCCTGAACTCAGTGATTGTCAAGATGAATTTCTGGAGCTGAAAACTGATTCGGGAGCAAGAGGTATGTTCGATGAGAAATCAGTCTGGGGTACAGTTTAATTCACAAAAATTGGCAGAAAAAGAGCTAATAAATGCATTGCTTTGTTTATCGACACATATCTTTGTGAGTCAGGCATTTTCAACTCTGTTGCAAATTAAAACGAAGCAACGTAGTAGATTAGAGGTAGAAAATGACCTGCGTTATTGCCCTTTCAAAGCACTCCTCCAGCGTATCCCAGAATTGGCGAAGAAAAAGCAATCACAGGTTTCTCATTGACTGTAAATCTTCATCTGAATAAAATTAATTACAAATTTATGTCCTGGTATTCTATTAACTTTTGTTTGTGCATTATGCTTCAGTTGGTCTGTTAAAAGTAATTCTTATAAAAAAAAAAAAATATTTTACTTTTATTCAAGTTTATAAATCATCAACATTTTTCAATTGGCATTTAATTTGTAGCTCTATAAAAAATAATCCATGTAAAATTGTAAATGTATATGTACTAATATGGGAAAAAAAACTCACTATAAAAATAATCCATGTAAAATTGTAAATGTATATACTAATATGAAAAAATGACAATCTTAAAAGGAGGGATGACATTCTGACATATGGTGAAAAGTGCATAAACAAGGTTGAGAACCACTGCTCAAAGGATCTATGTTCACTACTTACATATAATAAACAAAGAAATGCAACAAATAGAAAAATAAACAACAGTTAAGAAAGCTTGTTACAAGTCTGGTAACATCATATATAGATGAATATGTATATAGATACCAAATAAACTTAAGGAAGTTGACATGAATAGTCGTGAACCTGGAGGTGAGCAGCAGTTATCACCCTCTGGCGATAATCAACTCCCTCACATATAGCAATATCTTCCTGTGTCTGCTAACTGAACGTTATACTTTGTATAGATATAAGATAAGAACACGCAGACGGCAAGACTCTATTACCATTCATTGCACCATTTATTCACATGTCTGTATTACATATTGTTATAGCATGTCTGATGTCTATGCTATGTCTAATGCCTATGT